GCACACTTATCCCCAGCACAGTGACTTGGGGTCACATATAACCATTACCATCGGATTTGGCGTGAAAAATAAGCCATAAAACAGGTGTCGCACGCCGATGTAGCAGAAAGTGAAAACCGTGACCTTTCGTGACCTGACCTGACCTTGACCTGTACTTAGTATGACCCCTATACGCACATGGTACCTTCACTAGGCCTTTGAGGTCATTTTTGGTGAGTTTCGAGCAGCAGCTATCGATTCCGCTGTCCGTAAGCCGATTCATGCAAAACCCCTGAATTTGACCTTTGACCTGACCTTGACCCGAAAGTTGACCTCAATCTTAAAATCTTAAGGGTGCTTTGGGAAGGTTTCGTAGAGACCTTTCGAACGCCGCCTCGCGGGGCTCGATACGACCATTGGTTCTCGAGATAACAGGGGGGGGTCGGATCCGACCCCCCCCCAGGCTGTCGTGGGTACGGAAATAGCCCAGGCGGTGCCGGGTTAAAGCTCAGCGACACTAAGGGCTTGTGTGGTGCCTTCGGTTATCGGTAGCACCCTCAGAATCACCGGCGTAGGGCCCTCAGAGCCGTAGGCCCTCACCAGTACCTTTAGAGGTACTGGTGTGGGGCCGTCATGCAGGTGCCGGTGTGGGCGCTCAGAGGTGCTAGTGTGATTCTCTCAGAGGCGCCGGTGAGGGTCCTTACAGGCGATGCTGTGGGCCCTCAGCCCCTCATAGACGCTGGTATGGAGCGGTTACAGACGGGTGTGGGGCCTTTACAAAGAGCTGCTAACGCAAACCCTCTACAAGCCGGCAGGGGACTCTCAGGTGACAGGCAAGGGGCCCTTAGGCCGGCAGAAGAAGTCCGATGGATGGGGCCCATACTCCATAGAGACCGGCATGGTACTGTCAGACGCCGGTGGGGCCCTCAGAGTCATCGGTGTGGGGCCCTCAAAAGTCATCAGTGGGTGACCTTTATATGCGCAGGTGTTGGCTGTGGCACTGGTGTAGGCACTCAGAGTTGGGGGTGTGAAACCCCCAGAGACACCGGTGTGGGCCCTCATAGGCGCCGATGAGGGTCCCCACAGTTGCCGTTATGGGGCCCTCAGAAAAATAAGTGTGGGACCATCACAGGCGGGAAATGCCCCTAGAACTGGCCCATCATAGGCTGGTAAGAACTCTCAGAGGCCAATAACGGGCCTTTGCAGACTACCGAGGGGCCCCTAAAAGCCGCAAGAGGCCCTCGGAAGCCGGCGTGGGGCCATATGGAGATCTTAGTGTGGCTATTTAGGGCCCGTGAGGTGCTCTAACGAGCCCCACGGGCCCTTCTGAGTCGAAATATAGCCATCGTTAAAGGTAGTGTGCCAGCTTTCTTGGACCGTATGGAGTTAATGGCCCAGATAAGGAGAACCGGATTTTTAGAACTTATCCATACCTTCAAAACTCATGGAAACGTCTTAAATTCTTCAAATTTTGAGTACCCCAGTGCGAAATTCGCCCCGACGGGTTGTCGGTCGTACCCCAACCACATTTCACACCACTATGAACAATAAATGCACACACTGAAATCGCTATTACCGATATGCTCATCCAATCAAGTTTCGATAAACCCGTTCATCATCATCTCCTGCGGTTTCGAACACGCCTGTTAGGTGGCTTCTGATGCTCGTCGAGGTCGGAATTTCCAAATACGCGTGGTGCGTCGGGCCGCGCGCTCTGACTTCGGCCAAGAAAAATGCGTCAGCTGATCATTGTCATTTCTGCCACTTGCGTGTGGTGAAATGGGGTCATAACTTATAAGACGGCTTTTTCATATCAATTATTTTACATAAAATCATATTTCAAACCATAAATAATGTTCGACAGCCAAAAAAAAGAAACAATACCAATACGGGCTTACAGTTTAAGGCTCGACATTGTGTTGTCTACGATTAGACAGCTGATAACTCATTCCCGTACGTCGTATGGTCGTAACACTATAATGACCTTTGCTTATTGTCACAAGTGCGCCGCATTCGCGATTGTTGCCCGACGCCTGTTTGCAAGTGAGCCCACTACAGTTGTTATACATATCTAAAAACCGAAAAACTTTTAGGCGAAAAAGGCACTATTCCAGGCCCATTTTTGATTTTTTTTGCGATATTAGGTAAAAACAGAAGCTTCTTATCCTAGGAAAAATAAAATGGGAAATCTTTCAAAGGTGGCACACTACCTTTAACCCGCGAGTTGCTGGGGGGGGGCGTTAAACGCCCCCACTTTTTTCGCCGGGCCATAGCATAAAAACGGCGCGCCGCAGGCGCGCCAAATTTTGGGTACCTGTAGGGAATTGATTGAAGTTTATTGTGACAAAGTTTCAAAAAAATCGGTCGGAAAATTTTTGAGATATCGAGGTTTTAGTGACGTCATGATTTCTGAGTTTTCGACCAAAAACGGCATATGTTCAAAAAATCATATAAAATCACAGAATAGACATACAGACATGCCGCAAACGCCATTAGACTGCCAATACCATGAACAATCAAATGGCTATCTTCGAATATTGAATATCGTTCCGCATTTTCCAAAATCTTGAACTGAATCTTGGCAATTTCTCGTGACTACTTCACGACCATGATACATGCATTTCTTAAATTGAGCTTTTTTAGCCAAACACGCACTTATATGATAAAATGAATGTCACCATCGTGTTCTACGCCCCAAATTACCCATAAAACATGTGTCACAGGCTGCGAATATCAGTTTTTATTTTCGGGGATATGTGCCTGCCCGGTTGACCTGACCTTGACCCTGACCTATGCTTGACTGACCCCCGCATGGAGCTGACACTCTTGTAGGCCTTATATGGTGGATTGTGCACCGTTTTGACAGAGTTTATGACGAGAGGCGCCCATTGCGAAGTCCTGAAGTTCATGCTACTGAAAGCCCGATTTCAGGTGTTTGACCTGACCTTGACCTGACCTGTGACCTAAAAATTCAACTTTAAAATACTCATCTGAAGCGTCTCGTCGCGTTCTTTCGTTTGCCGCCTCGTGCGTTTCGCTGCGCCTATTGGTTCTCGAGTTATCGGCTGGGGGCGTTTAACGCCCCCCCCCCCCCAGCAAACGGTGGGTGGCGAAATACCCCAGCAACTGCCGGGTTAACCCTAAGCGGTCAAATGGCGCCGCAGGGCCCCTCGGACCCGAGTGTCCCTTTGAACCCGATGGGGGAGGGGGTACGTGTCCCCTTAGACCCCCAGCTACGCCACTGTTTCATATGCATCATTTCAGGTATTTTAGGCTCGCCCCCCCAACTTGAAAATCGTTCCCGGGCCCCCCCAGGGACCCCATTTTGGCTATCGTCAACTCAAATCTAATGTTAAGGTGGGAGGGTCCCTTTAATGCAGTAGGTATGCACTGAGCTTAGAGTATTCCACTGCTGAGTTATAGCTTATACCCACCAACCAGCTATTTTACGCTAGTTTGCTGTGTTTTGGAATTTGGTACATACGTATGGACGTAGGTATGGACCTCAGATTAGTTAAGTATGTACAGTCCACAGCAGAAGTAATGTGCGGTTTCAGTCATGGGTACCTATGTTCTGCTTCTGAAGCTTAGGAACGATTAAATGAAACTTTGAGTGTAGCTTATATGTATCGTCACCCTTGCAGCTGCAACTTAAGCTTTTGACATCTTCTTTTCGATCACTCCGTATTAACCCTATTCCTGGCGGGGGGGGGGGGCCTCAGGAGCCCCCCCCCCCTGAGGTTTTTTGGTTATTTCTCCCAAACGCGTTGAGCTAGGAAGCTCAAATTTTCTGACTTTTCTTAAAAGGCTTCTACGCAACATGTCTGAAAATTTTGAGTTGATCTGACCTCAGGTCAGGTCACCAGAGGCGGTTTCGTGACCCTACCTCAGAAAAGTTTGCAATCACGCCAGAGCTAGAGTTTTTGACTGATCAATTTCTTCTCTTCAGGGTTTAGTTAGGGCACCAGTATGTGCAATTTGTATATCTCAGAATTTTGATATCGGTGACCTAAGGTCAGGTCAATTTCGCGACCTCCCCATTATAAGTCAATGGGGGGAAAATCAACTCCCTGTTTTTACCACTAAAACGGGTCGGAATGGCCCCATATACCATACATGACTTCATATACGATCAACCTTCACTACCTTGAGGTCTGTTTTGCTGTTGGGCAGCTGTGAGGTCATGTGACGTCATCAAAGGTCACCAAAGGTTTTTGGCCAATAACTCCGTACAGGAACAAGATACAGACGCGTGGATGGTCTCATTGTGTTCAGCTCGTCAAGACGCATCGAATGATATACATGATGACCTCGAGGTCACGTGACCTGAGGTCAACCTTTGACCTTGACCTTTCGAGGTCAACATATATATCATTCGATGCGGATTGACGAGAGGATCACGATGATGCCCTTAGTTTGTTCCTATCTTGACTAACTCGAAAGTTATTCGAGAAAAACTCTCTCCATATCTAGCGCCGCCATTTTGACTTTTTCGACCCCTGTGACGTCATCTTTGACCTGACCTGAAAATGACCTTAGTAAAAATGGTAGATCTTGGCCGTGCGTATCCGATGCCGTTTACCGCTTGTCGCTATCTTGCTTCGTTCTCGAGATCTCAGGGGGGGGGCCGAATCGGCCCCCCCCCCCGCCAGTTTCTTGTCCCGGCGGAGCCCGCCAGGAATAGGGTTAAACAATCGCCAGTCAAAGCCAACCGTTGAGATTGGTAAAACCCTACATTACTATAGCGGTGGGCTGTGCCTACCTACCTACCAGCTACCTACCTATGTAGGCTCCTTAGTCCTTGGCGTATGTTTTCACAACAAATCTTGTCATATAATTATAGAAATTGAACCGACAAATAACAGTTTGTTCATAGCCCATACATATTTACCTATAGCCTATGCACTTAGTGCACTGGGACATTGCACCCGTTACGCGTTCAATAATTATTTCCTGGTCACGTTTCTATTGATAGCGATGCAGTTTCAGCGCCTCTGATTCATTCACTGCGTTAGCGACTTGTATTCTTTTGCAGAATTATGAGGTGCTTACGTTAGCAAAAATGTTGTACTCGATTGCTTTTAGACGTAACTAGAACGTTACTGTCAATAAGAAAGAGTCTGTAGATTATCTTATATATGTTTAATTTCTTTAATTCATTCTGGATGTCTTTTAATTAAATAAATTTGGTCAAAAAACATATTTTTGCTTGCAGTTTAAATGCTTAGAAAAGCATTTCGAACATAATTCGATTTCTACGGTGCTCCTTCTCAGCGCTCCCTTTTGTTTGTTAGCTAGCTAGCTACCTACGTGATTAGGCCGTAATCGCTGTTATTTTCATAAATACATAAACATTTGAGCAGGATCAAATCATGACCAATCCATCTTTAATGCTGATTATGAGATTAGCTCTCTTAGGATGTTTTTGGACGTTCAGTGCAGCTGTGTCCGATGACATGATCAAAATTTCAAGTGCAGAGTTGAAAGATTTGAGGCCTGAAACTGAAACTGTCCTGGCATTTTTCAGTAAGTATGACAGAGCTTTATATTTCATGTAATTATTCAAATTTAACTGCATGACATTAACTTTGCCATAAAAATAGAATAGCAGGTACCAACCTAACTGAGGACGCAGTGCTGCTGGATTTGAATGCATCAGAATCTCGGTTCTCATGAAAGTTTAGGTTGTTACTTGCTGGTCAGATAAGCAGCTGCACTGTGGGGTATCAAAACAAAACAGGAAATTTTCTATTTCTGGTCTCTGCAGCAGACCCATCACCCAGAGGAGCTCTTTGGGTTGGGGCAAATGTCTCAAGTTGCCTGGAATGTACAGAAATGTATGGTTATTTGAGAATATAAAGAAATTTTTAGAAAATTTTTGGGTTATGTTCCCTGGCATTGTCCAAGAGCCTCTTTCTGGATCTGTCAGTGTTTCTGATTATGGTCAACTTCCGTGGCGGCAATGCCACACTTTGAGAAGTTCTACATTTAGACCAATGGAGCTTGGATTATGACTGTGCTAAGACTGCCTGAGAAAGATCTCCCAAGAGGAAATCATTTGTTTCATTTTTGTGAGCTGTGCATTGGAGATGTAGAGTGCATCAAGCTGAATTCTGAAGTGTAACATTGTTTTTAGGTTAAAAATCAGTGAAATATTGATAATATGAACTGTTTTATTTTCTTAAAGGGACACTCCCACCTTAACATTAGTTTTGAGTTGAGATAGCCAAATTGGTGGCCATGGCCTGCAAATACCGGTTTGGAAACCCACAACATCGAAAAATGCTTTAATTCGAAGATATGGAATTTCAAACTTGCAGTTTTCGGATTCTAAGGGGCTAATGCATTGGAATGCCCCCTTAGAATTTGTGACGTCAGCGGAGATCTAACGATTTTTAAATCTTAGACTAAAACCATCGTTAACACGTGGTGGTATACGCTGCTTCGCGCGCAACGTCTGCCGCACTTTAAGGCTGCCAAATTATTGCTTCCAAATAAAGTCGCTAGTAACAGGGGAGATCCCAAAAAGTAAACAAAAGTAAAAGCCTAATATCTGCTAATATCTTGAAAACCAGTGAATATTTTTCGGTGAAATTTGGTAGATATTCGTTTTCGCTCTTTCTGAACCAAGGGACATCACTTTCATGCCAATTCATTAACTTTTTTGAAGGTGGGAGGGTCCCTTTAAGCTCTGCTGAACTTTCGGTAACTGTGAATATGAAGTCTGAATAGATAAAAAACAAGCTAACCTGACCTGACCTTACCTACTTACCACTAACCTTCAACCTACCAACCTACAACCTACATACCTACAACCTACCAACGTACAGACTTCATATACCAAAGTTTTTACCTCTTTTCATTGTGATTTATGATCAGTTCACATCAGTGTCATGTGAACCAATGTCCTATTATACACAGGAATAGGTTTCTCTGATGTAGCCTTTCTCAGGTTTGGTTTCCTAATGGTCCTTGAACCCAGACAAGATACCTTTCACCATTTACCTAACTCTTATACCTACCCTTTCCCCACACAGTTACTTTAGACATTGTGATGTGTTCATCTTGCATTTATGGCTAGCATAAGGCCATGCTTTGTGGAACTGTCTATTTTAGATTTTAAATTAACTTAGCTTTTTAAGATCAAATGTTTTGCATATATGAGATGTTTATGGGAAAGGATTTGGGATTTTTGTCTAATTCAGCAATGTTATTGGTTGAGAGCTAATGAGTGTTCACTGTTCAGTGTTTTTACATAACAAGTTCAAGATTATCCATGATTTCATTGCATTAACCTTTTCAGTTACCTCCAACATTTAGCACCACAAATATAAGCCAGAGTTGTTAATTTGATGCACTTTTTCGTTGTTTATCTCGCTGATATTCATATAACAGCTCTTAGTAAGAGTATTCATTTAAATAGCATCAAATGTCCTCTTTTGTGTAGGTATGTTGTGCACTTTGATTTTTTTCTGATATCACTATTCACTGTAAGGTTTCCATTCTGCACTCCCTGAGCCTGGGGACATTTGCTTTACCGCAGCTCGGAGCAGCGGCTGCAGCTCCTGTGCCGCTGCGGCCGACGAGCTCCGCTCCGTGCTGCCATCTCTCGGCATGAAAACGTACCTGGTGGAGGACGGCAAGGAGACAGCCGAGTACGCAGACCGGGTGCCCGCCCTGGTCATGTTTCACGGCCACACACCCGTGCTCTACGAAGGTAATTTAGTGGTCTTTAAAGTCTACTATTCCCTGTAGTTGAGTGCACATTCATAGCGAGACTTCTGCTGCTGAAATATTCTGGTCCTCTTCTATCCCAAGAGTTTTGCGATTTGTTATACCTGCGCATGTGTGATGTCCGTGTATCGTCACAGAGCCGATGGAGGACTGTGACTGTTTGACTGGCTAGCTGACTGCCTACCTGATGTAGCTCGACATGACTGACTGACTGATCAACTGACTGAATAATCAATGGTTGAGTATCCATGACAGGTTGGATGATGATGTAAATAATAAACCAAATTTGATCACATTTTTGCACAGTGATCAAGGTTCCATGAACCGAAAGCTTTGTGTGTCTTTTTAAATATATTTGAATGCATTTGTAATAATTTGGTTTATTATTTACATCATCATCCAATAATCAATGGATATTCGACTGACTGATGGATGAATCAACTTACTAATGGAGTTAAAGAATTAACACCGACTGGTTCCGCGAACGGCTACCCTTGGCTCCCTACGTCCGATGGAAGAGGACTGTGACTGCCGTTCTGACTGATTGTCTGATTGACTGATTTACTGACTGACTGACCAATTGACTGATCGATGAGAAGGTAACACTGACACCCCCCCCCCCCCTGGCTTCCCTCGGCTCTCCAGGTCCGATGGAGGGGGACGCGTTCGCCGAGTTCGTCACCACCAACCGAGAGCCGCGCGTAGTGATTCTGAACGACGACAGCTTCGAGCACCTGACGCAGGCGGCTACCGGATCCACCACCGGCGACTGGCTAGTCATGTTGTGAGTTGTCAGGGCGGGATGCTGTGAGTTGGGAGCTTTGTTGCTGCATTCCAGATCGGTATGTTGTGGGTTCGAAACTTGGTATGTTTGGGCTGCTGAATCAGTGTTCTATGAGTTGTGCACATGGGTTGTTGTGGAAATATCGTTATGCTTCGACTTGCCTCGATATGCTGTCGGTTGTTGGTTCTTGCCTATAATGATTCTGGATTTTTACGTTGATTTTATTTATAGGTTGACTGGAATCACATTTCATCTAATCACGTCACTGCTTTACACGCTCGCCTTTTTGTCATGTTTATTGTTTGGTTCCATACCCATCAGGCGTCAGTCAGAGGGACAGAGCAATCATGAGACCGTTCATCCTTGCCTGGCCGGCCTGCTGGGTCCCGATGTCGGCCTAACACCAGCGCATGCCGCGCGGGCCGCGCCGCTGGGCCATGGAGGCCGCCGCGGCCCGGTCAGCAGCATTGCCGGCTCCCTGCCGACCCAGGCTGGTCTCCCTGCGCCGCGCTCCGGCCGCCTCCTGGGCAGGGTACGGATGACGGCGCTCCCCGTCAGCAAACCCGCTCTTCTCGACCATGGCGGGACCGTCGGGCCGCTGTGTGCTGTCGGGAGGACCGCAGAATCGGGCCGGGCCGGAGCCGTCGGGGCCCTGCTCACTGTCAGAGAAGGGCTGTCTGTCGGCGGGGTTCGGTCCGTTCGTGGGAGACATGGGGCGTCTCTCGGCCGGAGGGAAGGGGGTGCTGTCCACGGTGGACCGCGGAACGTCGCCCGGGAACTGAGGACCCTGGCCGGGCTCCCCCGGCGGGCGACGCTCCTGCCGGCGACGCTCCCCATCCAGCATGGCTCGTCGCTCGCCATCGTAGAGCATTCGGCGACGGTCGTTGTCGCGGGCGAAGCGAGACCTCATGTCGGCGAGGTATTCGTCGTCGTCATCGGAGGTGACTCGAGGTCGGGTCGGGTTTCCGACGGGGCGGCGCTGCTGGGACGGTGAGCGCGCTCTGCCGCGCGGCGGCTCAGAGGGGCTGCGCACCTCCGAGCGCTGTCCGTAGTAGGGAACTGGGGACAGCGAGCGGGGCCGGTCCGCGTGCGGCCGGTAGCGCCGCTCGTCGGCACGCTCCGACGGGTACTCGGTGTACTTCCGAGGGGAGTACTCCGCGTACCGCGGCGGCGAGCCCCCGCGGTACCGCTCCGCGCCGCGGCTCGGTGAGAGAGCCGTCATCGAGCGACACAGACGATCCCTGTCCTGTCGCGAGGTCCGAGGGCGGCGCTCAGGAGAGCGAGCCAGCGGTCTGTCTTCCCGGCAGTCGGACTCGTAGGGGTCGGCTCGGTAGGGCGATCGGCCAAGACGCTGACGAGAGTAGTCCCGCGGGTAGTACTCGCTACGCCTGTAGTCGCAGCGACGTCCCGGTGAGCGTCCCCTGCGGGACGACCGCGGCTCGTAGTCGTACGAGCGCCGGTAGTCGCGTCCGTAGTCGTCGCGGCTCGGCGAACGAGGACCGAACGGCTCGCGCTCCCCGCGGCTGGGAGACCTGTAGGGCCCTCGGTCGTACCACCCGCAACACCGGCCGAACAGAGGCGGCAGCTCCGGGGAGAGAGACCGGCAGAATGAAGAGCCAAAGTCGAACGGCGAGCGCCGGCGGCGGAACATCTCCGCGATGGGCCAGCGGCTTCGGAACTCGGGCTGCGAGGGTGACCGGCGTCCCATGTCGTACCGGACCGGCGACCCGCAGCGCGGATCGGCCCGGAGCGGCGAGTCCCGGCGGCGATCCGCCCTCGTCGGCGAGTACAGACGGTAGTCGCACCGACTGGGGGACAGCTCCCGATGCCCGGAGCGGGACGGACGCGACGGCTGCATGCTGCCAGACGTGGGTGGGGGCCTGGCGGTACGGTGGGACTCGCACTGACACTGAGGACTTCATACCGCAGCCAGGGTTTTATACCGGTGCGAATGGGTGTCGTTTATGGTAGGGTGGTTTTCTAGGCGAGTGAGGAGCAGGGAAGGTAACTGAATACTCCCGCGTGCCTGGTTTTTAGGGTACACATGCGTGTTTCGGGTGAGCTCACGGACCTGTTTCTGTTGTTTGGAAATATGACACCCTACTTCAGGGCAGGCATGAAGTGCTAATTGTGAAAGGTGTCGTCAGGTAGATGACTGTCAACCTTCACTGACCTATCCGGGGCACCGCAGAGCTTTACGTGACACCCTATGCAACTGGTGCTATTGAGAAAAAGAAATATTTGTGCCTGACATGGTTTAGCTTTTCCTTTTCATTGCGTTATTCCTTCGAATATGATTCTTCCAATATTTCTTTTTTTCTTCAAATGTGACCAGTCTTTCATATTATCTACCCTCCTGTGACCTGGATGCCCCGCCGTCCGCCCCCAGCCACGGCCTCTCGTGCGACAGCTGCGCAGCACTCGAGGCTCGCCTGCAGGGGGTGGCTGCCAAGTTGAGGAACCGCGTCATGGTGGCCAAGATGTCCTCCGAGACGGACGGCAGGGAGACGGCCAAGCGGTTCGGTGTGCCGCCCAAAGAGCTCCAGATCCTGTTGTGAGTGTGAGATGCGGTGTGATGCGGGGCGGATGCTAGGTACTAATGGAGGTGGGATATGGGCGTATCCCAGCCGTTGCTGCACGCAGAATCAAAGGCTTTGGTACTAGGCTATCCCTCGTTGTATGATTTCATTAAGTGTTGTTTTGCGCACTATGGAGAGAAGTGGTAATTGCCGCTAACCCTTGTTTACTGAGCGAGCCGCGAGGTTACCGGCTTACAGAGCAAGGTTTTTCGTTGATTTTATGGCGTGTCGTTTTTTACCGTTGAAGTTCTACCTCACATTTATCGTTGATCTCACGGAAAACTTTAGTCCCTGACTCGCATGTCCCCTAACCCATCTTCCCCTACGTTCACAGTTTCCGCCAGGGTACGATGTACCTGTACAACCTGAAGAAGTTTGATCTCAGCAGTCTGAGCGCCTTCGCTGTCGGCCTGTACAAGGAGGCTCCTAGTGAACCGGTGCCTTCGCTACCACAGTCGCCCATGTGAGTCCATCAGGCCCCAGGGATGTATACGATGATCTGTTCATGCATACGCTTCGAGTTACGTGTTCCATCAATCGATGTTGTAAATACATCTGGTATTCTTCGCTTCATTCTGGTAAAAATGTGCGTTAACTAGCAGTTTTCGTCCTTCGAATGTCGAACTTCACCGACAACATATCGATATCATCTGAGTGTGCTGTTGGAGCTTAGTTAAACTAGACATTTCCAGATGCACCGATACAACATCGACAGTATTTTGCATAAATTCGTGCCTCTTGTATGAATGCGTCTGAGGCGTGCTTGTACTCATCTCGCGCTTCTCTTGCAGAATGCTGGTGCTGCAGGTAATAGCCGTCATCCTTGTCGCCGTCTACATCCTCATGATGGTGCTCACCAAGAAGAACGAGCAGGCGCGGAAGAAGGGGTTCTGAGAGCGCGCCTCTGGCTCCGGGCGAGTGTTCGCCGAGCTGTGCGCAGCTGTCAGCGCTCGCAGCGTCCGCAGAGTGAGGAGGAAGCCGAACTGATACATCCCTCTGTGGGCGAGAACGCTGAGGGACAGATGGAGATAGAGGGAGCTGCTATCAATGACGGTGGACCAACAGACCCATCCGATGACGCTGGAAGATCTGAGGGAGGCGGCGGTTGTGTGAGGGGTGTTCGGTGCGACACGAGTGTTTGAGTTGGTGACAGGGACCAGTGCGGCTATCGTATCAAATGTGATGACGTTTGTTGTTAAACTGTGATGAAATTGTTTCTCGTTGATATTTTCCTACTGAGGTGTGTTGGGGCTCAAATATAGCATCTACTTAAAAGATTATGTGTTCTTGAGTACCGACTTTGCGGGACTGATGTGAGATTGTGGGTTGAAGGGTTAAACCCATGCTGCGGAATGCTTATAGTCGGCGCTAAATATGGCTCCCTATCCCGGAAGTGTTTCACTTTTTGTTGCGTCCGGGTTTCGTCATCAGTTGGCCTTTATGATAACGAAGCAGGACACTTGTACGATTGCCCAGAATATGTGGAGTTAACAAGGTTGACCAGATATGCTACGCAAAGATATCCCGTGAGTAACTGGCAGTTACCTATTCGCTGGACCGCAGTGTCGTGTCTTGAAGTGTAGGGATTGTCCCAGGGAAAATAAAAACAGGGGGAACGGCTGCATGTGGCTAATGATAGTAGGTACCTAAATACGCAACAGAGAAATCGCATTACGTCTAGAGGACCGATTTGGCCAATCTTATTTAACCCGCGCCCTGCTGGGGGGGGGGGTGTTTGAACACCCCCCCTTGTGGTTTTTCGCGAATATCTCAAAAACGGCGGCGCGGAGCGCCGCCGTTTTTGGTACACCTTATCATACATCAATTCTACACATGTTGTGAAAATTTCAGACCAAGGTCATTCAAGGTCAGGTCACCAGGTCACTTGAAGTGACCTCACCTCATAAAAAGTTTCAATGTCTGTCATAGCTACACCGAGTGACCGATCGCTTTGAAACTTTCAGCGATTGCTAAGAGCAATAGTATGTACAAAATGTATATCTCAGAATTTTGATATCGATGACCTAAGGTCAGGTCAATTTTGCGACCTCCCCATTATAAGTCAATGGGAGAAAATTGAAATGCGCCTCTTTTGGACGAAAGACATTATAAACACTCCCAAACACCGAATTACAAGTGGTTTAGACACACTGAACATGAAAATGGTGTCCGTGACCCTTGCTTATGCCCTGAGGTCATCTTAGGTCACGAATGATATCTAACAGTTTTTCGCGAATAACTTTTGATAGAGGCGTGCTAGAGCGATGAAAACGCCTTAGATGTGTTCAGCTCGACGATACGGATCGACTGATATGCAACATGACCCTTTCCGGTCAGGTCATGACCTTGACCTGAGGTCAAATTTTCAAGTTGACCTTTCAAGGTCAAGTTATAGTTCATTCGATGCGTCTTGACGAGAGGAACACGATGCCGGTAAAAGTAAGCTCGTGCAAGGCTTGGGTCAAAAGTTATTGCAGAAAAACTGTTTCCGAAAAAATCGGCTATTTTTGCAGTTTTTGCCCCCTGCAGGCAAAACCGTTGACGTTAGGTCAAATCTGAGAGAATTACTCAGAAAGGGCGTTAATAGGGCTATCGAATGCGCTTTTCCGCGGCGCTGTAGCTCTATTGGTTCCCGAGTTATGCGTTGGCTTCTTGGAAATTTTCGACATTCGACCTGGAAATCGGCGAAATTTTGCCTTCAATGACCTCTGGTGACCTGACCTTTGACCTGACCAAAAAATTGACCGAAGTGATTTCGTCATTATTTTTGACGCTCTTTCGAACGCCGCCTTCCGCGTATCGCTACGTGGCCCAGGAGCCGAGTTACAAGGGGGGGGTGTTCAAACACCCCCCCCCCCCAGCAGGGCGTGGAAATCCAGGACCCCCAGCCGGGCGCGGGTTAAAGCGCATTACGTTTAGGGGACCGATTTGGCCAATCTTATGTAAAGTGCATTACGACTAGGGGACCAATTCGGCCAATCTTCTTTTCAGTGCCCCATGCGCCGAGCAGTCAGAACAGGCGAACAGCGCCGTCTTGCCGAGACCCGTCTTCGAACTGGAGTCTGTGTTTCGTTTATCTGCCGCCAGGTGTACCGTGCAGCGACGGACGCAGGTTTCGTGTTCCCTCCCATAAGCGTAGGAACCATGGGTGCAAGGGTGCAGCTGCACCCACAATATTTATCCAGTGGGTGCAGACAATGTATTCTGCACCCACAATAATCTGAACCAAAAACCCCTTTTTCATCAACACTACTTCCCATGCAGCACGGCAAATTCAGGATATGTTGCCTCAGTGTCCCAATTTGTATTTTGGCTTAGGTGTCAGAAGGGGAAATGCATCACCCCAAAGGAGGATGAGAGAGGAAAATTGCCAATCACACAAGGCCCAAAAAGAGTGGGAAAGGCTGCATGGTATAAAGTTATACAGAAGTGTGGCAGATTTTGGGATGTAAAATGGTTATCCATGCCAATGCGTTGTCTGTGAAATTGGGAGTGGAAAATTGCTCTTAAAAATTGGGGACGAGAGTGTAAAATAATTTCTGTTTGGATGTTGGTTCCCACCCAAATCGACAAATTTTGGGACACTGTGTTGCCTACGATCCATCTTTCGAAGCATTTGCTGTGATCAGTGATGGTCTTCAAAACTTACATTTGTGCTGAAAAAAGGGAAATGGAGCATGTGTTTGAACACATACCGAACCGATGACCCACTGTCAAAAATTCAAGCCCGATATCTTCGATAATGGCTAAGTTGGCCGCTTTTACTTTTTGCGGTAGTCAATATTGACAATATTAGCCCTCGAATGTGTGCAGCGTTTTCCAGCTTCTAATTTGTGTAGGGGGAGGGGAGGGGGTCGGTCGGACCCCATGCCGTTCGGCCCCTGATCGAGCTAGAGCTTTGCGGAAAAAACGAGGGTGTTGCCCGTGACGAGAGGAAGCCGATGATACCCAATTTTAAGGTCCTACTTCATTGGTTGACCTTCCAGGTCAGGTCAATATTCCAAAAGTCGGGAAAATCGGGACCTGCTAGAACTGCGTAAAGTGAAGCTGTTACCGGGTTTTTCGGGGTGCTGATCACAAATATCTGATGTTAGTTTTGATCACAGATGATTTCTTCATGCATTTAGGCCAGATCGGGTCAGGTCAGGTCAGATCAACCATTACCCAGTAAACATGACGACGTCGGCCCGACGTCGGGCCGAGGCTCGGCCCGACGTCGGCCAAACGTCGGTCCAACCTCGGCCCGACATCGGCTGGACGTCGGATATGCCCGCATGTTCCGACGTCCAGCCGAAGTCCAGCCGACGTCGAGCCGACGTCGGGCCGAGATCGTTTGCCGAGGTTGACGAGATCGTTTGTCGTTGGACCGACGGGGCCGACGTCGGCATGTTTATTGGGACAACGCGCCAAAAGTATCAACCGGCGGCGGGATTCGAGCCCCCCAGTCGCCGACGTCGGCATGTTTACTGGGACAACACGCCAAAAGCATAATCCGGCGATGGGATTCGAACCCCATGTCATTCGAACGCGAGGTTAGTGCGCTAATCACTACACCACGCAGCCAGCTAACGAATTTGGTTTGTTTTGTTGGGTTATGCCCTTTCGGTCTGACAAGACCATTTCAGAGCCGGAAGGATCATAGGATGGAGACATTGGTCTTCTTGGCGAGCACCCTGGGTCCAGTTCATATAGAGTCCCTGGTCCCATTGCTGTTACGTGACACTTATTGGAAAGGGCGATCCCACAATGGATTCATATAGCCACTCTTACACACCTGCACCAACGTTTCCCAAAGTGTCCCTTTGGTAAGTGGCACTTTGGCAAAGTGACACTTGCCGACTGGCCTTTCTATATGAACTGGGCCCGGCCCTGGTGAGTTGCCGGGGCTGAGCCTGACCAAAGGATAGGCCGAGCAGCCCCCAAGCACTCACCGCTCCCGGCTACGGGCGAGCTCGGCTTACGGGCAATCCCAAATGGGATAAAGTTTCCCGTCCAGTCCGGATCAGGGGGTTGCGGCGTGGAGGAAGATTTGAGTTTCCTGAGGATATTTTGAATACAGAAGCTCTTTATGAAACATGAAACATGCATTTTATATTATTTTAACGGTCAAAACAGCGGCCGATGTCGGTCCGACGTCGCCCCGACGTCGGCCCGACGTCGGCTGGACCTCAGCAATTGATCTCGGTCCGACGTCGGCCCGACGTCGGCTGGACCTCAGCAATTGATCTCGGTCCGACGTCGGCCCGACGTCGGCTGGGCCTCGGCTGGACGTCGGAACATGCGGGCATATCCGACATCCAGCCGACGTCGTGCCGAGGTTAGACCGACGTCGGGCCGACGTCGGCATACCGATGCCGAGTTGCCGACGTCACCCCGACGTCGGCCGACGTCGGGCCGACGTCGGCATGTTTACTGGGTTAGGCGTCCTACCGGCTATCCATGTAGGTGTCAACTACCACTGACGGTGTCGTAGCATGTCACGAAAGCACTAAAACTACTTCGTAAACGTTCAAATGGATGCTAAATTCGAAATCAGCCCTATGAACTACCCTAGAAACATGTAAAACTCGAAAAAGTGAACCGAGGTCATCAAAGGTCAATGACCTGACCTTCAGGTTATCTTCACACCCACCGTGATGCATGGGAAGAACATCATTTCACATGTTTGGACGTCTACAATCACAAAAAGACTGAAAACGCGCGGATAATGTGAGCTGACATACTCCAAATCGCGATTCCGGCCGAAGCATGGTCTCGAGAATCAGGTCACAGGTCAAGGGTCTTTTGGGTCAGGGTCATGAAATTTTTGGAGTAGGTGTAAAACTGATCAACTCGAGGGTACTAAAAGTTTCGTCGCGATCGGCCGCTTTTTGCGCGAGTTATTTGCGAACAACCATGGGGGGGGGGGTTCATCCGACCCCCCTACACATGCGAGGGTCAATGCTTCCAAATGCACTTATCGGTTGGTACCTTTTCGACATGGTACACCCTCAAAGCTCGTAACGAGCCTTCGCTCGGGTGTCGCCCCCCCCCCTCCCCCGCTTCACCGGCCATGGCTGGATTTCTGCACCCATGCACCCACAATGTTCCAGCCGTTCCTACGCCCATGTTCCCTCCCCCATCCCGCGGCGGCTGCAGCCTTGAATAAATCACTTTGTGCAACTAATCGCACGATGACGTGGTTAAAACTCGTTCTCTCGTGTGGGTATTGTTGCTGCACAGCTTGGCTGGGCTAATATACATCTGGTATTGGCGAGAGTGCAGACCGTCCTCCG